AACAAGTATTAGATAAGTGGTTACCGGTAAGCGCAGGGACGAGCAAAGAAAACAAAGGAGGAAGGGCGCATCAATACGTACTTGTAGGCAAGTTGACCGGGGTAAGGCCAAGGACAACCGCAGCGGCCGCAATGGCACCCGTCAACTGTGCAATGCAATACAGCACAAATCGCGTGGGTCTGATACCGCCAACGAGAAGTAGGGTGAGGCTGACTTCCGGGTTGAACAGTCCGCCCGTCGCGCGGAAGAAGAACCAGGCGGACACGAGCAAGCTGAGACCAAAAGCGGTCGCGATATAGAGCGACCTCTCGAGGTCGGACCCAAACACTTCGTGCGAACCTTGGGTCCCGCCAAACGCGAGAAGCAGAAAAACGGTCGTTCCAATAAACTCGAAGATCGACGCTTTGACGTCGTCAGCAAAGCTCGTTTCTGGCCAGTAATTTCGCAACATTTGTCGCCAAAAAGTTAAGTTTTGGACAGATTGCTTGTGAGAGCGAAAGAAAGAAAAGGCAGTTACCCCCTTTTTGTTGTCTTGGTTCCCCCAAAGCCGCGCCGCCAATTGCGTCATTGCAGATAAACTCGCCCCTAAGACATTTCGTAGGCCAAGGAATTTATTTCTAGACCGCCCCGTCTCAATATAGTACAGTAATTACCGAGCATTGGAGCGATTTGAGGACAGCCGACGTCACGTGGTGGATCAAGGTCGTCGAGTTGCAAATCAGAACCGGAGAGGGGCTGGCTGGGGAAGTTAGGAGGCCTTGATTCTGTTTTTGAATGGACGGGAATGAGCGTGTGGCATCATTTGACTTTGTATCCCGCCGTGCTTATCCTCGGCTGAGGTGGTGCGAACGTCGGCACGAAAATTTTGACGTACGACTGGTACAGTCATTTCCGAACCTCACGCACGAGGGTACAAAGGGAGAACTGAATCACCTAATCCCAATCCAGTCTGGAGTTTTCCCTATTTCTTTTCGTTTGACTGCGTTTGTCCTTTTGCAGCTTACGCTGCGCATTCGCTTTCCGTTCTAACCCCCTAACACGCTCCCTCTGTTCTTCTGATGGCTCGTTCTGGATAGGCCCGGACGCAGCAGAACAAATTAGGGCATGCAACTACAGCAAATAGTAGGTTCGTCAAGTGCCGGGATGACATCGGGATCAATGATACGTTCGTACCTTCGACAGACAGTCATCAATATTCTGTGCCTGCGAACGATGGAGTGTTGATATCAGTAGAATGGAACGACTTGATTTGACAAAATAAGGCTACATTTATCAATCAGTGGTTTAGGGGAAAAAAAATTTGACACCGAGCAGTTGACAAGACACACCGACTGTTGAAGGCCATCACGCGCCCATGAAGGTATCCAAGCCGAGTCCAAGGCACATCGTATTGTTACCTTTGTATTGACTTTATTAACGTTCTGCTCGGTTATCACAAGCCTTGAATATGATACGGTCACATGCATTTGATGACTGGTGGACAAACCTGGCCTCCGGGGCCGGAACTCCGGGAAAAGGCGATATTGTCAACAGCCGCTCTAGGAATGGGGCACTCTCGAAAACGATTTAACCAGTCTCGGGCAGCGGCGACGTCTTTCGAAGTTGCCAGATTTGAAAGAGGTGGTGGCGCTGGCAGTGACGTCGCTGAGCATTGGTTTGTCCGATGCCGGGCAGTTCGGATGAGTAGTCTTAAAGGCCCCGTAAGAGCGTCCAGCACGATAAATTTCGAACGGGTAAGAAGCATGTGACCGCCAGACAGAGAACGGACCTCCGCAAAAAAAAAGCGATTTGCAAACCAGGCAGATGGGGAAGATGAACAATTAAACCTTCTATCGTAGAAAGCAGCCTGCCCAATCGCGTAGAACTCCCAGGCCCTTATGACAGTCGTTTACTTGGAAGAAGGGTCTGACTGAAGCGACGCGACGACAGCTGCGAAGCGTAGTGACTTAGTCAGCAAATGTTTGTATGTATATGTGTGTGTATGTTAGTGTGGGAAGCGTTGTTTGTCCACCCTCGAGATCTTCGTGGAAGCTCAGGCAGCAGCGGTAGGACCTCAGTTCTTTTTCCTCATCTAGCCGGTTACAGCTACGGTACGAGTACTTGTACGTACGGGTGTACGATGATGCCATACTCGCGGTTATCACGGCGCCGGTTCATGCAATTCTATTGGCAGGCCGGGACCTTCGAAATCAGAACATACTTGTGGTAAAGCACACCCTATTCTATACACTACATCATTCACATATGCCAGTGATCGTCCCGAAAATTGGGTCATGACTTCGCCATACCGTACGTACACGTAAACGTGACTGCAGGGTGTACAACTTCCGGAGCACCTCAATCCGCGGTCTGTGGCGTGTATTATCCTTGTTCACGTCTTCTTCGATACAATTGCTCATTCTCGAGCCTTGACAAACGCGCTTACTAATACGTGGCGTGGTGTCAAGGCGTCAAGGCATCATCCGAGTCCCGTTTCATCGTCGTCCCCCTTCTCGTCATTTCCGTTTGCGAATCCGCTCCGTGCTAGCCTACCAACCTCCAAGTATATTGGCTCCTTGATGAACTTTCTAGTGCATGCTTGATTCGAACCTGTCTTTCGTCATAAACATGACACTTGACAAACACGTGTCGGTCCTCTTTTGGTTCTGCTCTGGATTCGGATACTCGAGGGGTCCACATTACTTTCTCCTCACTCCGATGACATCCCATCGATATCAGCTCGTCGACATTGCACGTGTTTGTTTTATTCACAATGTATCGGACGGCTCAGAATTTCCGATAGATTTCCATCTCCTTACTCTATCTGCGATATAGACTTGATTGTCTTGCCAACGCGGGCACCGCAATGTATCGTTCCACTGCTTCGCTACGCTACAATGATCACTCACCCACATGCAATATGTCTTGTGTCGTCCTTGCTACGATATGGCGCCAGCAGTCCGGAAGTCCTTCAACCCTCTGCTCCTGATCGTTCCCACGGACACCGTCGTATGCCGCAAGAAGCGTGGGATAAACGAAGGGGGCGCAGCAAGACCATTCTCGGGTTTCATGACGGAGAACATATTGAGCGCACGCCGATTACCTTCAACCATCAGATTACGCCTCTCCCGAGAATGTTCAAAACAAGGCGTAAGTGGCGAGAGTCCACCCAAATACGGTCAACTCCGTTTCACAAACAGAGTGGCCGCCGGAATATCGCGCGCCATCTTCTGGATCGTCCTCGTTGGGTCGTCATCGCGACCCGACCGCAGTTCCACAGGGTTGGCCGTTCAAACGGGACAACAACAAAGTCGATCTATCGTATACTTGCACGCCACATTGGCCAGTGCCTTTCTCTTACGCCGCCAGTTAAAAAACGCCGTTCCGTTTCCCGTTTCCGTTTCCGTTTCCAGGACGCCGGTTCCGAACATCGCGACCGACTTATGCAGATTATCTCAGGAGAGACCGGAATACAAATTTGCGGACGCCACAGACAGGTTGTCAATATTCCCTCGGGCATTTGAATATCTCGAGAACGTCAGCTCTTTCTCCGGTTGTGTACTAGTGGGCGGTCAGGACCACCACTGGTTCTGTAGCTCTTTTGCGGTGCACACCTAAGCTTTGACTAGACTAGCATTTCGCTTCACTCTGTCCAATGGGTCCCTCGCGGATTTTGCCTTGTTTGTAAAATACGGAAATTGGCGGTGAGTTGCCGTTATACTCCGAGTACGCCCCGCTGCCCATGGGAATGCCTCTCGTCATTCGCCTTTGGAGTTCCGAAACAAGTTGGCGACAACGCCGCCATTGGTGAAGCTTATTCCCACTCTTACGGTAGATTCACAAGGCGGGCGGTAACAATTTGCAAAATTTGCCCGAGGGCGCCGAGACTCGGACCAACGACTGGCTGGCTAGGTCAAGGTTGCACGGATCACTATGTTTCGACGCTCCATCGCTGGTGAGACGCTTCAAAATCTTCATGAGTTGATGGTGAAAGAAGTTTCACCTTTACGCACTTAACGACTGGGATGGAGTGCTTTTGTGTGCCAAGCAGATACGAATCGCTGGCCAGACTCGGCAGGGTTCAGCGCGTGTTCATCTCTCACGACAGATTCGTCATTTGCGTCGCCGTACACACGTATAGGCACCGCCGGAACTTTTAAAATCCTACCAGTGGCCCAGCAACAATATTCACACGACAATGTTATTGCTGTCCGCCGTTGGGTTACTTGACACACAAAAACTTTCCTGGGCTCCCACGAGCAATTTGACCAAAAGTATCATGGACCCGAGTCATTCCGAGAAGGTATTTTTGTTTTGTTTTGGAGATGGGGGGGATGAAGGTGGACCAAGAGTGAAATGGTTTGCCCATTTCCCATTTCTCTAGTGCTAGGGTTTGATCCTCGATTCTTCGACAAAGACTGAAATGGGTGTGGGGCCGCACCTGAATCATCTCTGCCATTCACTTTCGATAACATAGGGTGCCCGTGCGGATACTAGTAGCCCATCTATGACAAAGGTTCAAGCTTAGGCTCGCCCTCGTCAAAGTTGTACTACCCACAGAACAGTAGAAGCCCATCACCCATCGTTGTTCCCCAACCAAAAAAAATAAATCCCCGTCATTGCCCCTTTGGTTCATCCAGACGGGTTTTCAAGGCAATGTAACATGTCGGCGAAAGTGCTTTTAATAAAAGCATCCGGTTATATTCCACTGACACTGCGCACGCAGGGTACATAACCCTCCGCAGAGATGAAACGATAACGAATTTGGTTGCCTTGAAACATTTCCCTGCCCCCCCCCTCCCACGACAGTAAATACGAATACGGAGGTAATACACCAAGGGGTACGGTGGGAATGCGGGGCTCTATTCTTTGATTCACAGATAAACTAGTACGGAAAATTGAAACTTTGGAAATTCTAGGCATTCGAATAGTAGGGGGCGACGATATGCTACACTGATTCACTGCCCTACCCATGAGCGATGCTTAGACGTGAGTGTCCGTTTCAAGCGTGAACAGAGTACTCCGATATGGTGTAATGGCTAACATTGCCGCCTCTCATCCCGTATATGTCGTTGCGACCGGTGGCGCAGTCCCGGGATATGCGCCCCCCGGCCACAATGACATTGGATCGCGGCAGCTCGGGGTTCGATTCCCCGTGTCGGAAACATTTTCACAAGGTTTGTTTTCATACGATACTTAGTGTACTGTGCTAGTAAGCCACATCGCCTTGTGTTTTTGGTTGCTCATTCAAAAAGACAATTGTTGACAATTTGAATTCCTAAGTAACTACACGATACGGGTACATGGAAGATTCTGATTCAATTACGGCACGCTGAAAAACAAAACCGTCAGCCGGGGTACAAGTCGTGAACGATGAGTTCAGAATGAATGATTCAGTTCCGCGAAATTGCATAAAAATCATGGCCGAAGCTCAGCAACAGCTTCTAGTTGATTATGTTCGATGATTCATCCCGTAGAGGAGTGTAGGTCATGCACGAGAAGGGGCTTACATGAGACAATTCCGGAGGCCTATGGTAGAAGGTGGTTAGCGACAGCCAAAAGGACCCAGAAAGAAACAAGAGGAGATCAGAAGGGGGTGCCCGAAAAAGTGAGCTATAGCAGGCAATTTCGGCAGTGTTTATAACGAAGACCGTCGTGTTAAGGAGCATCATACAAGTCGCGCAGAAACAAGGATTGTGTTAAACTCACCTAGACGCCATGAGGGCCTCACAAAGTAAAGGTTCGACCTGTGGAGTAGTCAGCATTAGACACCAGAACTGACAGTTGGAAGATCAGAAAGAAAAAAAACAGCCAGTTTTTGTCGTCAAAACTCGAAACCGTGATACGGTCGGGATCAGGCGGTAAATCCATGAAGGAGCATCATATTGAGCTAACGCGGACGAAAGGCTCACCAATTCATGACGACCGTCTCAGAAACATCATATCCAATGATCTAACGTCCAAGAATATCAGCACATAAACTTGAATGGGCCAGAGGAGTGCAGGAAGAGCTCAGATATAGGATAGGTGAGAACATTGAGCAAGAGCTCTCAGATACTCTAGTTTGAATGAATTTGGATCGTCCTAGCAAGGGAACAGTTGAGCTGATATCGACTCACTTGTGGGGCACAAAACTTCATTACGGGTGGCCATTCGATGGTTGGAGGTCCTGGTTGGAGAAAGGTAAGCATACAGTTCACGACGAGGGAGTAAGGGGAAATGATATTGCAAAAACCGATCAGTGTAACTATGACATAAGTTGAGCAGTCTTTGCTACGCCGTTTAGGTATAACGACGGGGCTCATGTGAAGAGAAATTTCATCTTGTCGACTGGGGAAGACAGGGAAGGGATGCAACTCACCTAAGACATAGGCTTGCATACCGTCCTTCGCACGTTGACCATCTAGGACCTCCTGCACAAGGGTATCTCCCAAAAAACGGAGTCGGTTGGAAAAGCCAACACGACGCTCCATTTATTCAATTTTTTGTTGATAATTGTTTAGGGTATGTCGTTCCCACACTTTACCGTTCCGTAACCGGAAAGTGACTTTGGAAATAAAATGTTCAGTTCAATGCGATCGTTCAATAACGCATTCAGATTCACGTCTCTTCAGTCCAAACGCAAGTTGTGCATTATTTTTCTTCCGGACTCGCTTTTGTTTATACGCCCTTTACCCCAGGATCTTTCCAGACAAGTATTCCACCTGTTGACCTCAGATACGATGTCCTCTGTCCCAAGGATAGCTCAAAGGTGGAAAGGCCCCTGGTCATCCTACATGGCCTTTTGTGTGTGTTTTTCGACTTTCTGCGTTTTCCAAAACAAAGCTCACAATACGGTAGTGGGATGAAACGAAATTGGTCATCTCTCTCCAAAGCCTTCCTCCGTGACCTCCAGCGACCTGTCTATGCTTTAGTGGGTATTATGTTGCTTTCTCTGTGTCATGCATATAAATGCTCTCCCTCTGTCCTTCTTAGGATCTCCGCAACCATGGATCGTCTCCTCATGCAAGACCGATGAACTATGAAGCAATGGCCGCTGATGTCCTCCACTTCTTGCGGTCACACTCGCTCTCAAACGTTTCCCTTCTGGGTCACTCCATGTGAGCATTGAATTTTTCAGGTCCCCTGATACAGTACACGCATTATTGATAAACCAAACTACCATTCGTCAGGGGTGGCAAAGTTGCTATGGCCGTCGCCCTTTCTCCAGAACTCCCCGACGACGCGATCGAACACCTCATCGTAGCAGATATCACGCCGTCAAGCGCAGAGCTCTCTACGGAGTTTCAAGGCTATATCGAGGCCATGAACAAAATTGAGCAGAGCGGAATCAACTCTCGACGAGAAGCTCAGGACATTCTCACACCTTACGAACCCGTATGTCACCTCTTGTTTTATCGACGCCCTCTCCCTGGACGCCGTGCCTTTCTTTAGGATCCGACAACCCGCGCGTTTCTCCTGACTAACCTGAATACAACTATCCAACCTTTCAAGTTTCAGGTCCCGCTTGACATCATCGGCGCTTCGATTCCGGAGGTTGGTGGCTTTCCCTACAGGCCGGGAGAACGCTCCTGGGGAGGGAGCACCCTCTTCGTGAAGGGTACGAAGAGCAAGTATATCAACAAGCACAATCTACCCGTTGCAAAGGTATATTTCCCAAGGATGTCTCTCGAGATGTTAGATGCAGGTCATTGGGGTGCGTCCCGACGGTCCTCTCTCGGAGATAAATACTCACTGAACTTGTTTGGCGTTTTCAGTGCACGCAGAAAAGTACGTCCATGGGTGTCCGCTTTAGAATCTTTTAACCCTTTGATAGGCCCAATGAGTTCAAGAAACTCGTTATAGATTTCATCACTCGATCATAGACTGTATTCTCACCTCGCAAACGTATTAATCCAACCCTTGATATTTCAAAGCTACTTTAGGTCGTTTATTAAGGTACACCCTCGAAAGCAAATAGGATATCATTAAAGCAGCTTGGTATCGATCCACAGTATTCCACAAAATAGCAAATCAAACAACGGTTACAGCACGCCAACCCAGTCCACCTTTCATCTGAGCTCTACGCCTCTGCATCTCCTTCGTCCCCGCACACGCCGCGTTCCAAGTCCAATTCCCAACCAGTCGTTCTATCACCTGAAACAAATGAATCAACGCTCCCCATCTCGTGTCGATGCCTGCTGCTACCCAACAGCCCGAGTTTCTGCGGGAGCAACAGCGGACGCATCCCTCTTCTATATCCAGGTGTTCTATCATGCACAATCACGGTTGCAGGCGCAGGCAGAGGGTATTGCACGACCCGCGGTTTCGCCGTCGCATTTGCTATCGCGCGCAGGTATTCCAGTTCCTTGTCCGCGCGTGCTGCGTACGACAGCTGCGGGGCGGAGGCAGCATGGACTGGCACGCGATAAACGGGCCCAGAACCCTCGCCTCCTACGACCCCACCATTGGACGTTGCTGCAGCAACACGTTGATCGTCGCCGGACTGTTTATCCGGCCTGATGTGACGCTTCTTCTTCGAGCGGCGGTGTGGTGAAGTGCTGGATGCCCATGCCCACGCCGATAGATCGTACGCATCGCCAATTCCGAGCGCTGCGCGAGCACCGGGGGCATAATATGCACCTCCGTGCATGCCAAACGGGTCTTCCCCTGTTGTCGTTTCTCTTCTCACGTGGCCATCGTTGTCCCTGCCGTCCTCGTCATCCTTGTCCACGCATCGCTGCATCGCCGCATTGGGGGTCGAGGTACGACGCGAGACTAGTGGTAGCGAAAGTGAAAGGGGGAACGAGAGCGAGAGTGGCGAGCGCGCTGTGATGGATGCGGAGAACGTGCGGAATTGAGTTCGCGGGCGCGGGTGTGGACGCGGACGCACACTGATGGGCGACTGGAAAGGCACGGCTTCGTCGCATGTTACAGAGCCAATGACAGAGAAGCCCGTGGGTGTCATTGGCGTAGTCGGCGCGCTGGTGTCCGAGCCAGATGACACGCAAGATATTGTTGGGCTCGGAATCGGGAGACCGGAACCTAGCTCGAGCGCAAGCCTGAGCTCTGACTGTAGCGCAGAAGGTCGGCCTGGGGTAGACACGCCAGTGAGTGGGGACGGCACTGGCGAGAATAGCGAGTGGGGGCGGCGAGGTCCGGTCGTCGATGGCCTCGGGAGGGACTCGCGTGCTTCTCGATCTTCAACGTGCAACCGCGCCTGCGCCTCCGTTCCTTCGTATTCCTCACGAACTTCTTCATTGTCGTCTTTCCTCTCGTAGCATTCTTTCATGCCCGTCGCCTTGACATCGTCCTTCCTGTCTCCAACCGTCGCCGCCTCCGCCTCCGCTCCCGCGGACATTCGCATATACATCGCATGCTTCTTCTTCTTTGCCATGCGGCGCTCCTTCATCTTCGCCTTGAGTTCGCGTGTACGCGTACAAACCCCGCCACTTTCGTCTTGGCCATCGACAAAGTGCGAGTCGTGATCGATGCTGATGCTGAGGTCGACGTTGGTATATGGGGCTGCTGTGTGCACGAAGTGTTGGTGTTCTTGCTGCTAGTTCTAATACTAGTGCTGGTGCGTAATTTGTGAGATTGAATTGAGAGGAAGAGGTCACGAGTGCGGAGCCAGATGGAACGCAAGTGGTTATAAAGGAAGCGAAAGAGTGTCTCCATCCCAAGGGTAGGTCGTTCTACGTTTCCTCGTGACCTCCGGGTGATGGACGTACGTTCGTTCCGTACGAGGATGAGCGGTGGCTTGTATGGGGGTGGGTTAGTCGGGCCTGACCGTTGGGACCAAGTCAGCCTCAGTCTAATTGGAGATGAGATAAGGTTAGACTTTCTCATGTATTCCGTCAATATCACTCTAGTAAAGAACAATCGCAAGGCCTGCGTGCGCGCGGATTTAACGCGGTTATCAGTGTTTTTTGCCCGCAGCACATATACTCAGGTTGTGTGCTTGAAAATATGTGCCTTAGACGGTGCGGGCGTGCCGCCGTGCTCAAATGCTCTCCCAGTCGGAGTAGCTCCCTCGTCTCAACATCATGTCCTCATTTTCTGACACGGCAATACTGAAAGGACTTATTCTCACCAGCCGCCATATACAGCCTGAGTAGTAAGTTGCAGAACGACCGTATACGTAAGCAAAAGGCGGTCGGACCCTGTCTCTTTAAATAACTCGTC